AAGACCAAAGGAAGACTGCAGTGAATGGATTAGATATTCTATTGAATATTTATAGATAAAATGGTACCACATTACTCCCAAAATTTACTCCTTCACTCCTATTCACATACTCTTGATTGGAATTTTTAAATGGCATGGAACTGTACTGAGTCTTCTACAAATTTATGTTATCTAATCCCAACTGGGCCTTGACTACAGTAATTCTACTACTGACTAATGGATTCCTTATCCCACTCATCACAGAGGCTATTCCAAATGTTCTCTTCTCTTCCCAAGCCTCCAACCCTACCCTACCCTTTCAGCTGAGGACTTCTTTTCATACTTCAGCAACAACAAAAACAAGACCATTCACTTCAACCTCCCTTCTCCTTTCCAGGACTTGGTCCCATTCTCTCTCATCATTTCTATAACCTGCCTATCTCTAATCTTCTACTCTTCCCCTTCTACAGCTTCTTTTCCTGTTATCTATAAATATGCCCAAATCTTTCCATCTTTAAAAATTCTCACTCAATCCCCTAAGCCCTGTAATCTTCCTATATTGTACCTTTCTTGTACCTTGCTAAGGGACCTCCAATTTCAGAGATGCTTCAACAAAGAAGCATCTTTTCTTTACTTTCCTCATTCTTACTACTAGAATGGAAAGAAAAGTGAAGTCTGTTAGCCAGTGTAGGAATTAAAAGAGATTGAAGTAAATATTGCAAGAAGTAGATTTCTAAGGTGACTTTGTCTTTATTATCTAAGAAACTGTTATAGAGTTTTTTCACTTGTGAAAAGCAATGGTTTTATCAGTAAACTTGTAGCATGAAAGCAGCTATGAGGTTCCTTTTTTAAAAGAATCTTTAACCTTAGAGGTCATCTAAACCAGTCTCTTCATTTTACAGATGAGGAAATGGAGAACAAGAGATATCAAGTGATTTGCCTAAAGCTAGACATGTACTAAGCATAAGAGGCAGGAGGACATGGACCTAGGCCCCCCAACTCCAGAACGACTATGTCATGATGCCTCTGAAAGAAAGAGCAAGGAGCCAAGTTTCTAAAATAGAAAAGAAGATAAAAAGATAAAAGTTTAACAGGCAAGAAAACAGACGAGATTGGGGAAAATACTCTTAAAAGAGCTTCACATGCAAGTGTGATTATAGTGAAGTGATCATACCACCTTGTGACTGTTTCATCTTTCCTCCTTCCCTGTGGGACAAGAGAGGGAGCAAAGAAATTCAAGTGAACCCTGCAGAGCTTTTATAGCTGCTCAGGAATGGTAGGGAGGCTAACTAAGGCTGAGCCTCTCACTAGGTCTATCAGCCTACAAATAGACTGTCTTTGGTTATAATGAAGGGAAAATTCTAGAATCATACTCAGTGCAATAAAATATCCACAATCTAGGTAGAGGGTTTCTCAAATAGGACAAAAGAGAAAACTTGTATTTTGCTGCAGCAGGAAAGCTAGATCTGCATATCAGTTCTAACATTTGCTAGTTGTATGACCATGAGTAAGTCATCTCTCTGGGAGCCTCAGGCTCCTCATCTGTTAAAAAGAGAAAAAAAAGGCTTATCCTACTTACCTCAAGGAGGCTTGTTTTAAGAAACGTGTTTTGCATACCTTAAAGTGCTTTGCAAAAGTGAATTATTATTATTATTCATTATTATAAAACCTACCCACCTACATGAAGGCAATTTTCTGGTTAAAATGTATTATTTTCTCTGTGTATCTTTCATGTATGCTAAATATTAGTGTTGTTTTAGAACATAAGCTATTCAAGAATCAAGATTTTATAGATAGATAGATAATAGATAGATAGATAGATAAATACATACATATATAGATACATACATAGCTACATATATATGCATATGCATGTGTGTGTGTGTATACACATACATATATATATGTAATTTCTGTGCCAGACACTATGATAAATGTTAGAGCTGTAAGTTCGAAGAATGAATCAAATTCTACTCACAAGGAGCTTATATTCAAATGGAAGAGACAAGTAGGCATAAAAACATGTGCAGCACAATACGTATGTACAATGACTTGTTGTGGTTGTTGTTTGATTGTTTCAGTAATGTCCAAATCTTCATGACCTCATTTGGGGTTTTCTTGGCATTTCCTTCTCTAACTTATTTTACGGATGAGGAAACTGAGGCAAGCAGGGTTAAGTGATTTGCCATGGCTTCCTTAGGCTTCTTTGTAACAAAATGGAACAGAGACTTCAGACTCATTTTGCATTTCTCAGAGCAAAGTAAAACAGTGAGTGTAAATTGTGATCTTTATCTTCTGGATGTGGCAGGAAGAGCTTGCAGGAAAGTCTATATGGCCAGTTTCTAAGAAACAACCTCTTATGACCATGCCAGCCAAGCAAAGATGGCTAGTCTTAGCCATGGCAGGAAAAGGTAAGATGCAGGGCACTTCTATGTTGGGCAATCTGAACCTATGCAGGCAAACTCCCTTACAAATATATGCAAAGTAATTAAATAAAAGGAATTTTGGAAGGGAGGCCATTATCTGTTGGATCAGGAAAGAATTCATGTAGAAGATAGTGATTGAGCTACATCTTGAAAGAAGAGACAGAATCTTTGAGATGATGGTAAGAAAGTAACATATTAGGCATAGGAGACAGCCATTGCTTAGGCATGGAGACAGAAAGTGGAATATGCTGGGGGAGGGGGGTAATATCTAATGAGGCCGAAAAGATCTGTGGGGGCCAAGTTGTATAGGGCCATAAAAGTTGAACAGAGGAGTTTATATTTTATCCTAGAGTAAATGGAAAGCTGCTAGAGTTGATTGAGTAGAGGAATCACATGGTCACATGGTTAGATCTGTGCTTAAAGAGAATTACTTTGGCAGTAGTGAGTGGAATGGACTGGAGTAGGGAATGATTTGAGGCAAAGACCAAATAGGAGGCAGCTGCAATAATCTAAGCAATAAGTAATGAGGTCCTGGACCAAGATGGCAGCTGTGAGAAAGCAAAGAAGTGGTCAGATACAAGGGGTATTATCAAGATTTTTAAAATGGCAATGTTTGGCAACTGATTTGACATGTGGGTTGAAGCTAAGTGAGGAGTCCGGGATATTTGGGGTTATAAGGCTGGGAGACTAGAAGAATGGTGGTACTTCGAAAGAAATGGGGGAGTTTGGAAGAGTAAAAGGTTTAGGGGGAAGGATAATAAGGTTAGTTTCATACATGTTGAGTTTAAAATGTCTCTGGAACATCCAGTTTTATATATCCAATGGACAATTGGTATTGTGGTACTGAAGCTCCAAAGAGAGACTCTTCAAAGAGAGATAGAGAGATCTGGAAGTCATCTAAACAGAAATGCAATTCAACTGATGGAGCTGATGATGTAATCAAAACAGAAAAAGTAGAGGAAAAATAGGAGAGGACTTAGGAAAGAATCTTGGGGAACACCCATGGTTAGATTGGGTGTAGATATGGATAATGAGCTAGTAAAGGAAACTGAAAAAGAGAAGTAAGACAAATAATAATAATAGCTAATATTTATCTACCACTTACTATGTATGAGGCACTGTGCTAAGTGTTTTTCAATTGTTTTCTAATTTGATCCTCACAATAGCCCTGGGAGATAAGTGCCCTTATTTATACCCATTTTACAGTTGAGGAAACTGGGGTAAATAGAGGTTAAGTTACTTGTCCAGGGTCACATGGTTAGCAACTGTCTGAAGTCAAATTTGATCTCTGCTCTAGCTGTCTACAAACTCAGCATTCTATCTACCTCACCATCTAAGCAGACTCTGAGAAGGAGACTTATTGTTATGAAAACCTTGACAGGAGAGAGTTTACAGTATCAAATGCAGCATGTAAATCAAGAAGGATTAGGGCTGAGAAAATTTGATCACCAGATTTGGAAACTAAGTTGACAATTGATATAATACTAATAGCTAGGTTGATTTAAGGCTTGCAAAGATTATGCAAATCTCATTCAAATCCTACTGCAATCTTAAGAGGTGGAAATTATTATTGTTCCCATTTTACAGATGAGGAAATTGAGGCAGACAGAGATTAAGAGACTTGGCCCAGGTCACAAATGCTTTTATGTGGTTCATCACTTTATCCACCATGCCACCTAGTGGCCTCCAGCTGATGTCTTTGGAGAGAAAAGCTTCTTTGGGGTTATGAGGCCCGAATCCAGATTGCAGTGTTAAGGAGTGAGTGAAAGGAAAGAAAGCAGAATTGGCCAGTGCCACCAGATCTTTTAAGGAGTATGGCTGAGAAAGTAAGGGGAGATGTAGCACAACAGCTTGAAGGGATGGTAGGGTCTAATAAAGGTTTAAGGATGGAGAGATACATGTATATTGGATGGAAATAGGAAAAGAAGAAGTTGACAGCAATCTAACCCAATCTCTACCATATATAGTGAAGTACCCCTTCATGCAGATAGATAATAAATGCTTCTGAATGGATTGTTGAACATATCAAGAAACACTTTCCTAACTTGTATCTCTATTTTTTGAAATTTTGAGCAGCAACTGGGGGCACTTTATTGACCCTAACATAGGATACTATTTAATAGTCCCCTAGTCATCTAGACACCCCATAAGCACACTGACCATTATTTACTTAGAGAATGAGAGTCAAAATTCAAAATTTCATACTGCATTGATTTTCTATTATCCATTAGCAATACTTCCTTTGTCTATACTTTTTATGCTCTGGGTACTAAATGATGTAATTTCAGTGTAAATTATAATAAATTACCAAGTAGTCATCTCCCATCACTGTTTCCTTACTGCAGCATGCTTACATCACTGGTATCACTGACTATCGAGTCAAGAAGTGCATATAAATTATTCAAAGAAAAGAAAAAAGACTATTTTCCAGTGCAGAAAATATCAGAATAAACTCCAGACTGTTGTAATTAATGAGGCTCTGAAATGTCATAAGTTTTGTCAAAATGAAATATACTTATTTAACTGCTAAATTATATTGATTACCATGAGTAACTTACATTATTACATGCTTCATTTTCTTTAATGATCTCATACCTGGATGAAGATTAATTCATTCTTGATCTCTTTGGCTATTGGAATGCAGCTCGAATTACTCTGTCACTAAGTGGCTGAGTGGGTCTGAAGTTGTCCCCTAAAATTCCATCACAGCCCTCTAAGAGTTCTGCACCTTTAACATGGGTCCTCAGTCTTCGAAATTCCTCTATCTGAAAATAAAACCAGACAAAATCAATTAATATTTCATATGAAATAAATAAATCCAGTATTTGTAAAGATTTTAAATGATACATTATTTTCAACAGTCAAAAATAAAGAAAAACTTCTGTTATTCCTTACTGGTCAAAAATTAGCCAATTCCTTCCCATCTAAGAATGCTTAAAAGGGGAACAAAGCATATGCCTATCAACAGAACAAAGATAATGTGAGTACATATAACAAAGGCCTCAGTCTGTTTTTAAATCAGTTTTTCAACATTCCTAACTTCTTTCGTTGCTAAAGTTGTACATGAGAAATTCTCTATGTCTGACTCAATAACAGCTTAATGACACCCTCTATATTATTAAGAAGGTAAGATTATTTCCTATTTCCACAACTCATTAGATAAGTTTAATGACTATATTGTAAAAAGGGTAAGATTTTCTCCATCTCATGACTAAAAGTTAAAAAATTTAAACTTAATATTTATGTGTCTTAAACTAATGGAAAAAAAACTTTAATTAATGGGGAAATGTCAAAGTATTTGTTTTAACATTTAATATCTAAACTATTTTGCACAAGCAAAAAGCTTTTCTTTATCAAGAGACACTTAGGACTTTTTTCAAATTTCTTCTATAGTCCTCAGAGGTCATATATCAAAAGTATTCTTAATATCTCAAGCCCATCTGTGTGATATAAATCTATTTTAAAACCAATTAAATTTGTCTAGTAAGTTAGTTATGATTTTGAGGTCAAAATGTTTTTAAAGGGAAAATCTGAAAATCAATTATTTTGTTTCCACAGTGTTAAAAAATCATAACTTATTCTTCCCCATTAAACTTTGCTGTTTTGTGGGTACAGTCTTAGAGTGAAAATATAGAGGGAAACTATTATTCTACTTCTCCTGGATACTCTGTCTACTTAACTGGCATAATGAGAATCTGATGGATTGATTTATGGAAGTGCCCATTTCTAATATTTTCTCCAACCATGAAGTTAGGGTAATCTGACCAAAGAATTTCATCACAAAGTAACCAATCTACTGGCAGACATTGCAAGTACCAAACAAAATCATTATGTTGGTGAGAGGTAGTAAATGCATAGGTAGATGAGAGAGAGAGAGAGAGAGAGAGAGAGAGAGAGAGAGAGAAGAGAGAGAGAGAAAGAGAGAGAGAGAGAGTATAAATTAATAAATCAAAACTAACTAAGGATCTATGCCACAGTCATTTCACTGATATGCTATCACTCAACTAATTGATTGGCACTGGTTAAAACAAAAGTTAAAAGTCTACACCAAATTAGAAGAAAGGATAAAGATGAGAAAACATTTCATGCAATTATGATTATGATAATTATATTACCTATTGAAGTTTTTACTTAAAAGTTAGAAATAGATAAAGCTAAAGATATTGAATCTGATTATCATAATTTCTTAGAATAGTTAAGAATATAAAAGTTACCACAATGAAGAGCCTAGAAAGGACCTGGGCTCCCAAACACTTCATCACTTTGCCAAGTAGAGAGACATGTATCTATCCCACAGGGTTGTAATAGGGATTAAATAAGACAAAATATGTAAAGTGCTTTGCAAACTTTAAAGCACATTTTTACCTTTTTAAAGGTAGTATGATGAAATAATGAATTTGAGTTAGGAGACCAGAGTTTCAACCTTTTCCTCAACATTCACTAGTTACATGATCATCAGCAATTTAATTAATCTGCATGAGTCTCAGTCTCTTCCCTATGAAATGAGGATGACAAAATATGTGCTACCTTCATCATAAGATGGTTGTGAGAACAATGCTTTTAAACTTTAATATGATACATTAATGTGAAATTATTATTATTATTATTGCCAAGATAAATAAACACAAACTTAAAAGTTAAGATGCAAAGTATTACAGAGGAAATTTGCAAATGATTACAAAAATATCCCCCAGCAACCTCACACACAGAACAAGAAGAAAAGGAAGGAAAATAAGGTCTGCAGAAAGTTAATCAAAAACAAGATAAAACTAAGCCAGACTCTCCCCAGAATTTTTATAGATGAAACTGGAAGGATTCAACCAATGTGAAATAAAACAGATTTGTCATTATTTTTTCTATCAATTTTTTTTTATCTAATCTTATCATCTGTGATGGTAGAACCACCACATTTGGAATCTATGACCTGAGTTTCCTAGAAGAAAAACATTCTTCCTCAGAGGTAATGAAAGGAAATGACTAAAGAAAAAGTCATACTCAATGGGCAGAATAGAAGGAGTGGCTGGGAAGAAGTGATCCAGTCCACACAAAGTAGGGGGATGGGAGTGGGGAAATAGGGAGGAATGACCTAACTCCTTAGCTCAGTGCAGGAACAGCATCACCACTACAACGATACACTCATTAAATGCCTGAGGCACTGTTCTAAGTACTAGGCTACAGAGAGTCCCTGTTCTAGTCATAAGATACAGGCTGAACAAATGTACCAAGATAAGGAATGTCAAGTTTGGGGAAATATAGTAGTTCAGTTTTCCTGGAACAAAGATGTGAAATGAGGATTGAAAGGTAGATAGGGACCAGATCACAGACAGCTTTAAATGCTAGGCTGAGAGTATGTATTTTATCCTAGAGTAGACTGGGGTTATTAAATATTTTTGAGCAGGGGAATGACTTGGTCAGGCCCGTACTTTAGGGAGATGATCTTGGCATCTGTGAGGATATTATATTAAAGAGATCTTGAGATTTGAAGCAGGAAAACTAATCAGGAGGCTATCACAGGAGTTCAGGTGAGTAATGATGAGGACTTCAACTAGGGTAATAGAAATAATAAATCATAATCATAATATTTATATTATGATTATGATTTATTATTTCTATTACCCTAGTGCCTTAAGGTTTGCAAAAGATTTTGCAAATATTATCATAGCCTTACAACTCTGGAAGTTAAGTGCTATTATCATCCCTGTTTTACAGATGAAATTGAGGCTTACAGAGGATAAATGACTTGTCCAGGATCCCACAGCTGGTAAGTATCAGAGGCAGGATTTGAACTCAGGTCTTTCTGACTACATTCCCAATACTCTATTCATTGCACCATGTGAGTAAAGTAAAAGAGATTAATTTAATAGACGTTGTAGAGGTAAAATCTATCAAACTTCACAATTAATTAGATTTGGGGCTGAAGGAAAGAGAAGTATTAAAAATTATTCCAAAGTTACAACCCTGAGTGACTAGGAAAATGCTGGTTCTCTCAACAGGAATAAAGAAGTTTAGAGGCAAGGTGAGTTTGGGAAGAAAGATGGTGAGTTATCTTTCAGGCAAGTGGCTTTCAGGTGGCTTTGGGACATCCACACAAATATGGCCAGGAGGCAACTGGAGATGTGGACTGGAGTTCAAAAAAGTGATTAAGGATGAATAAATAGCTCTGGAAGTTATCTAGGTAGAGATGATAAGTGAACCTGTGGTAAGTTCAAGGGATAAGATCATTGAGGGAAAAACTATAAAGAGAAAAGAGCACAGGATAAAACCTTGGGGAGACACCCATATGTAAGACACAGAAGATCCATAATGGTTCAGCAAAGGAGACTGATAAGTAATGTTCGGACAGGTTGAAGGAAAACCAGAGTTCTCATAGCTATGATTTGGAAATAACTATAAATACTGTCAAAAATATGAAATGCAGAACACTAGGATACTGGATTTTTTTCAAGAGATATTCCTATTGGAGTGCCTGTTTTAAGGTTTACTTTGAAGCTTCTTTTGAAAAGAGATTAATTTTATATTTTCTTAATCTAAATTCAAAATAAACCTTCAAGCTTCAGGATGCAACCTCAGACAGTTTTCATGAAATAAGTCTCTTCAACCAGAGAGGAACTGAATTGATAGCCCGACAGTCCCAAGTCACTGTAGTATGGGAGGAACTATTTCACTAGAAACCCTTCTCTCTGATCATAGCAACACTTTGAAGGCTTTCAAACATCAACAGAGATTGGGCGGGGGGGGGGGAGCCTCTTTCTGAAATGTCAATTTCTCTGAAATAACCACCCCTCAAAATCCTTTAGCAACTTCAAATGGTTTCAAGTGCACGCTGAGTTATCCTAGTTCTAGTTTCCTGAATGTTACTGCACTGAAAAAAGATATAATAATAATTGAACAGAACAATGTGTCAGGATAAAAGTCTTCACCAAAATATAAATGTCAAGGTAATGCAGGAGACCATCACTGTCACATGGCTTTGTATATATGACTTTTCTACTCTGCCAAAAAAAAAATTTTAACTAAAATTCAAAAACAGGATAGAAATTCAACCCTTCTATTAGAAAGGCTCCTACTCTGACAGGTAGTACATAGACTGGCAGCAGCTCACTGTAGCAGAGATAAAAAACTACATGCTAATTGGTCTAAAATATTTGTTCCATGCTTCACTGACCCAGAAAAAACAGATAATTCATGAAAGTTCCTTTTTAAAATTGCCTAGAGTATATGTATGGAAGAGCTAGTTTGCAAGTGGTTGAGATTTGGTCCTAATTGGCTTCTGGGGTTTTGCTTTTTATCCATGCATATGCCATCTAGTATTTAAAGAATGGCTTTCACTTGTATTTGGCATACTAAAATTTCAAGAAAATAGAGAAAGAGAAATCTATAAAAATGCTTTTGTTTCATCTTTCTTATCATTAAAAAGCTGTAACAATGAAAAAACATCCAAATGGTCTTTCGGTATGCTCTTCTATTATTCCTTATGTGTACTTTTTCATAAATTAAAGGTTCTAAAGCAGTGAATTTCTGTAAATTTTCCATATTTGTGGATAAGTAGTTATCTATTACAAATTTAGAAAGCATATATACATGTACTTATGTGTGCGTGTGTGTGTGTGTGTGTGTGTGTGTGTGTGTGTGTGTGTGTGTGTGTAAATTTTCCACCTACATACTCGCACTTTTTGATGATTCTCTGTTTCATCAGTCTAGTGCAGGGGTGGGGAACCTGCAGCCTCGAGGTCCCATCTAGACTTAGAGGGCCACATGAGGCCTC